GCAGGACCTTGCACTTGGCCTTTTCCCCTTCCAGCAGCACCCTGCTGGTTTTGTTTCTTGCAGCCGGAGAATATTTGTCACTAAAGCCTCGGAGGCTGCCAGCAGGCACTGCGAGGACGCAACGCAAACGTCTGCCTGCACGGAGCTCCTTGAGGGACAAAGGCTTAGATCTATCAGCAAATCCTTTTACATGTCTGAGGCTTTTGCTGCTGCAAACAGTTCCCTTTTACCGTTACAGGATCCTCCAGGGGGTTTTCAATCTCTGCCTGACGCAGGAACACGTTCCCTCGGCACACTCGCCACAGCATGCGCTCGAACATGGGGATCCGCTCACGGTTGATCACGCCAGCCACAAACCTGCGAAGGGGGCAGCATCAACGGCGGTTCTGCGCCCAGAACACAGAGCCCCGCACCCAACCCGCCGAGGGCGGATGGAGCTTGGCATCAGGATCAAAGCGACAGAAACCTCGGTTTGAAATTGGCTCTTTAAGCAAAAGAGAAGGTCCCCTAAATCCGTCAGGATGAAACCACAACAAAACTGCGCTACGGCAAAAGCCGGGTCTTTTATCAGAATGAAACCGCCTGTTAGAAACCACAAATCAACCCCTGGTTAAAGGAGAGACGAGTGCCTTTAACACACGGTTTGTGCCTGCTGGTCTTCATTCCAACAGGCTCCTGGCACGTTACGTGGCAGGAGCGTAGCTGACCCGGCTACCGCTGACTCTTCCAGGCACGTGCCTAGAAGCCTCACTGGCCCAGACCCCTACGCCTGGGTGACGGATCACACACGCGCAGACGGCCTGCAGGCAGCTAACAGAGGATACAAAACCAAACAGTTTTCCAAGTATTAAGTGCCCACAGGAGTTACGGGTTTGGCCAAAGCTCAGGACACCTGGAAAAGCAACCAGGACAGATTCACAAGGAGTAAACTAGTGGAGTTTTTTTTGTGCAGAGAGAAATGTGTGAGGCACAAGGATGACTGGGGAGTGAGTGTGCAAAGGACACGGACAGCCACCAGCGGCTAGTCTGGGCTCAGTCTTCTGGAAAGTTCCAGAAGTGCACTCAAACCGCGGAAGGAAGCGCAAGTTGCCATTACCCAAGTCGCAGCGGGGCCCCTCTTCCCATCTCGCTTGGTTCCAGGAGCGAAGAGGATTCCTCCAACAGGTCTGGATCCGCCATCTGCTGATGATGCAATTCAGCCTGAATTCACAAATCAATATCTAATGAAACTAGTTAGTGGCATGCAGGGAACGAGGAACCAGGAGATGGTTTGGGGAGACAAAAAAGAGGAAAAACAACCCACGAAAAAAAAAGAGAACGAACAAACATCAGACAGGGGGAAGAGGAACTAGATGGTAGAAAAGACAGCAAGAGGGAGGAGAAAAACAAGAGGAAGAGTGGAATGGCTCAGCAAAGCTTCCACACAAGAAAGAGCTGAAGAGTGTTGCAACAGACCAGAGGGACTGCGGGATATGTAAGTCTGAACAAAGGCAGAATTCACACAAATTTATCAAGTTTTAAGTATGAGTGATGTTCCCAAGAACCGTTTTTAACGGCACACACCAGTGACACGCTTACTCCCACCTTTTCCTAGATCTTAAATGGAGAGAAGCGTGGAGGGAGACGCTGATTCCCTGGGAAACCGTGCTTGCAGGGCACGCGGCCTGGGAGCCTCATTGGGCACGGCAGGAAGAGCATGAGCAGGCAAGTCTTCCACAGACGGCTCCGCTCACCTTCGGGCAGCCTCAAGCCTCACACGCTTGCGACCCTGCAACCGGCTGCACAAGACCTGCGCGCCCCACGCGCGTCCGCCGTACTCCAGACCGACGGCAGGACCTCGTTCAGTTTGCAATGAGGTGGCAACAAGTTTGATTGATTCCGTGCTACCTGCCAGCGGAGAGACAGGGTCGGAACCAGTAACAAAACCTGGGAGCATGGGATGGGAGTTTACTGGCTTTACAAAGTTCTCCCTCCAGGAAAAACACACGATTCTTCCAGGTTAAAAACATGGTTATTGGTTAAATCAATTAATTCTTCAAGAGATTTGTCCTCATTCACTGTTTTATTGTTAGCAGGCACATAAGATGCAGGGCTGCGGGCAGTCTGACGAGGCTGCTCATTTTCTGACCAGCCAGGCATTAAAACAGGACGGGGATTTACACCTTCCTTCCTTGCAACTAACCTGCAGGGTAAAATTCTTGGGAATACAGCCTGTAAGCATCAACAATTCGAACCAGGAGGGATGCTCAGATCACACCCTCTTGTGCGCCAGCTTCGCGCTTTGTTCAAGCACGAACCCCGCGTCACAGCTCCTTCTACCTCTGCAGCTCACTTCGTGACGTGACTACGGTGCCTCAGCACGAGCGAGGGCCAAGCTCTACCCTCCGGCCTACGTACGGGCGCTTGTCCCCTCGGCGCTACGCAGGGTGCCTGGCAGCGCGCACTCCAGGGTAGAATCCGACCCCGTAACGCGCAGACGCGCGTGGTGGCCTGGCAGGAGGGCACAGCAGGTCTGACGACTCCGCCCCAGGTTCTTTCTTTGCGCAGGAGTCGCACCACAGCTCCAGAGAAAAACTACGAGGTTTCACTCGCGCGGCACAAGCTCCTGCGAGGCCGACACGAAACGCCGCTCAAGGGCTGGCACACACGCGTGCTGCAGCCTGCGGAGGCTACCGGGGTAGGGAGAAGTTTGGGAAGGCAACGTGAAGGATTTTGGACCCTTTCAACTTTAAGGCAACTTGTTGCAACATCGAGAACCGGATGGAAATTTTGCCTCACAGGGAACACAACCAACATAAAGTTGGGTACCCCGAACCAACACACACAGACCAAACACACCAACGAGGTTTTGCTATCCAGGCTTCAGGAATGGTGAAAAACAGGAAGACCGAGTTACAGCTGTCAGAGGCTTGGATTGCACTGACCCGCAAACCAGACACTGCGATCGCACCGCGCTTCTGCACATCAAAGAGGAAAAAGGAGAGCAGCACGTCTGAAAACTGTGGATCTGCCTCACCTGAGCCAGTAATTCTGAGAACCGTTTAGCATCACCCCGACCTTGCTGGGGCTCTGCGTCCTTCAGGGCAGCGAATCTACCAAAGGCGAGTGCTGCTCAGAGGGGCTGGAATGACCAGACAGCAGCTGCCTAGGAGAAGCTTGGAACAGACCAGTTTTACTAGAGAACTTTCTTACACGAGGCTTATTTGCATAACAAAACCCTCTGTTCTTAAAATGGGTCTCTGACTCCTTGGCTGTGCTGAGCACACCCTTTCCAGAAAGGAAAGAGGACAGCAAGGTCAGCTCTGGTTCTGGAAGAGTAACTAAAGCAGCGGTACAGGATTCAACAGAAACAAGAACTTGGGAGTCAGGGGAAATGGAAGAGCCACACGGTGACAACGCAAACAGCCAAGACTCCAGGAAATGAGAGGTTTCACCAGCAGCAAGTGAAATATCATTGTTCTTGGGAAGTATTTCTTGCTGCATCGGGTCGTTCAGGACTGGAGGGACCCAAGCACTTGCATGCCAGTAATTAGAACACGGACCTTTTGCTATTAAACCCTTTCAAATTGCTCACTGTTCACCCAGATCAGCACTTTTAATCTTGAGGCCTGAAAAATGGGTTTGTTTTCCTTCCTCTTGCTTACGGCTCTGCTCCGCCACGGCTCTGGATCGCTACACGTGAGGCCATACAATCCAAGCCCCTTCCAGCCCACAGACAGAAAAAAAAAATCAACTTCCACAGAAGGAGAAGGGATTCATTTCACCATCCAACTCATTAACCCAGAGCCCAGACAGAAGTGACGGATGCGAAACAAACAGAGAAGCAGATGGGGAGAAGAGTCAGAGGAGAGGGAGGCAGGGGACTGCATGCCATTAACCATTACTTTTCCAGTCTTCTCTTACGCTCACTCTAGGCAAAACCCTCAGAGAAATCTCTCCAGCTCAAACTGTTCTTCACAAGCAAAGACAAGAAGACTGAGAAAAGGAGCATAATCGTCAAGGTGGTGTGTTGAAACAAGAAATGGCTGCTTTGACCAGAACGGTCGTAGAACAGGTTAAAATGTTTTGCCAACCCCCCTCCCCCCGTGCACAGACCCCAGGAGCTTTGGACAATGAGCCATTGCTTGTGCAACTCGTTATTATGAACAACACAGTCTTAAATTACAAATTACTGAAGTCTTCAAGTGTTGAAGGTGCTGTGGCAGTGACAGCGTTCGCTGCCTCGGGGTAACGACGGACTGCACAAGGCCCGGCAGGCCCAGCCTAGCGTGGTTCTCTCACGCTGCCGTTAGCGGCGCAAACCCAAACGAGCCCTCAGCTTTCAACCCTTATGCCTCACTGAACTTCACACAGCAGCTGTTCAGTTTGCTTGCCGTACAGCAGGAGGTTTAATTTCTTGTATTTTGGTTTATTATGAGAGAAACCAGTTATCAAACAGGAGCAGGAACACACCTAAACTTCCCATAGCCAGTTCATTTGAGTGTGACATGAGTTCCCTTCTGTGGGCAACCTGACAGATTGTTTCAGTAGGAAATTGGTTTTGATCTTTAAATTTAGTAGGATAATACTGTAGTTGAAGAAAAGCTGCTGGCAGCTCTCGCCAGGGAGGACAGAGATTAAAGTGCCCAGCAGGAGCTGCCTTGGTTCTGCTCAACACCCCGTTAGAGCTGGCAGCGGCGCCTTAACACAGGTAACAGGCTACGGGGTTAACGCTGTTCGTCCAAGGAGACGCTTTCTGCGAACATTCAACACTGGAAGATGGATTTTTTTGTACCGAAACCAACCCCGTGACCCATCAAGTGACAGTGGTAGCAGCGGTGTCTGTCAGCAGTGACTGAGGCTCGTGCTGGCACGGGAACAACCTTAATGCCTCAACAGGCAGCAGCCTGTGCCAAAACCCCAAACCAAACCGTTTATCTAAGTTTGCAGGAGCCCAGTTCTACTTGATCCCAGCCTTTGTAAAGGCCAGAAGCCGTATCTGTTAGGAACTCTTTGATCAAACCCTTGTTGGAGGAAATGGGACGTGTACTTGGCAAAACCATGTCCTTACTGTGCGGAAAAACACGCAGGAGCTCTGTGAGGAAGCTCCCTAGGCTTGGAGATACTCGAGCTTTACCACGGAGGGTCACGTCTTCTCCCACGCAGGCTTTGTGCCTGTGTCGCCAACGACCTCAGAGCTGCTCCGCTCAGGCCCAGCGAAAGAGCTGCCACTTTCCGGCCAAGCTGGCGCCTGACAAAACCCTGAAGTTTTTAAACAGCAGCTTTGCTCGAGTTACCGCTGAAAACCTCAGGGTTTGATCAAAGGCTCAAATAACTAAACAATCGATTACTGCAGCGGACTTGGCATTATGACCCTAATGAGTAATCTCCACATAACATTCCAAAGGCTGAGGAGAAATCAAGCTCGGCTGCAATCCCTGTGCCAGCGGGGCAGGGCTGGGTGTCGCACACCTCCCAAGGACACGCCTCCCCGCCGAAGAAAGCGCTCAGCGCAGCCCTGCAGCATTGATGCGCTTTTAAAACCCACCAGCACCGTAACTGTTTCACACAGCTTTTAGACAAACCATTGCTCAACTGCAAACAACCCCAAACCGACACCCTAGGCGGTAAATCACAGGTAGCTACGCGCACCGCGTGGAAAACGGAAAACCATTCGGGAAACTTTCTTAAACAACGCGTAAAAAGGACCCTGCTGTCCGAAACAGCAAGTAAGAGCACACTGGGGAATCCAAATGGTAACTTGTGGGAGAATAACCACCTGCCCGAGCGTCAACCCGCCCCCCGGTATTCTGACCTCATCAAAAAACTGCTGGGTTTTACGCAGTATAAATTTTAATTCTGTCAGCTCCAGGAAGTTTCTCTTCAGAGCTTCCTGGTTTGTGTTGATTTCTTTAAGCTCGTTTTCAATCTTCTCGAAGTTTGCCTGCAAGACAGAAAAAAGAGAAAGAAGAAGGACTTAAAGCAATGCTCAGGGCAAAGATGCTCAGGGCAAAGATGCTCAGGGCAAAGATGCTCAGGGCAAAGATGCTCAGGGCAAAGATGCTCAGGGCAAAGATGCTCAGGGCAAAGATGCGCTGTCAAGGCTTTTGAAACAGGAAAGCAGACAAGATGCTCTACGTCCCCACACGATTTGCGTGCAATTACAGATGCTACGGAACAGGGATCCAGATTGGTGACATTCTCTTCTGGCAACCTGAAACTTTTCACGCACAGCCAGGCCTTCACAGGTTGGATCTATGGTGTTCTTCGAATCATTAAGAGCCCTCAAACTTCAAGACAGCCTCCCAGAAACCACACGGTTCCAGCAGGTTTTGACTCATTTCAATGGGTGAGATTTCTCTGACGTGCTTTCATGCTTAACTCTATCTGGACAAACGCAGAAGCAACATGACGCTGGGGAATCAAAAGGGAACTGATGGGACCTAGCAGGGCCGGGATTTCAAGCGACAGCTGAGGACTACAGCAAACACACCTCTGCCACTGAATTCAATGGGTGTTCACCAACTGGGCCAGCTTCCCCTGTTCCATCTACAGTCAAATACTACTGGAGTCTTAAGACACCTCATTACCTCCAAGTCGATCATGTCGCGTGGAAAAGGCACCTCCGGGTTTTCACCAGTGTCCATGATAGGAATATTTGCCTTTTTAATCTCCTTCTCCACAAACCCTGCAGAGACAACACCATCAGCATTAGCTAAAGCGACACTCTGGTGTCAAACTGCCACCGTAACCTCCGCCCAGCCCGATTAGCAGCTGCGAATTCTGCCACCGCCTGTTCCCTGATCGCCTTGTTGGGCTGACGTTATCTTTGAGGCGGGAGGCGCATCCCCAGAGGCAGCCTGCCCGGCCGGCCCAGCAAACAGCAGCCTTCACGGCCTGCAGGCCTGGCCTGCGTGGGTCTCTGTCCTGTACACGGCGCAGCTCGGGCCGTACCAAACCCCACGGACACGTACGGAGCTTGCGGTCCATCTCCTCGCATCTCCGGACCTCGTTGACGAATTTGCGCTGGAACACGTTCACGTCCGGGTTCAGCTGCGGGGAGAGACGCGTTTCCTCAGCGATGGCCGCCCGCACGGCCGAAGGCACCGGGCC